ATAAGGAAGAAATTCTTTACAATGAGGGTGGTGAAACCCTGGCAGGGGTTGCCCAGAGAGGTGGTGGAGGCCCCATCCCTGGGAACATTCCAGGCCAGGTTGGACGGGGCTGTGAGCAACCTGATCTGGTAAAAGGTGTCCCTGCTCCCTGCAGGGGGGTTGGGCTGGGTGACCTCTAGGGGTCCCTTCCAACCCCAAACATTCTCTGATTCTATGAAATTCACACGGGCTTATGTGTATCGGGCTTAACCAGGTGTCATGGATAACATGATATTTGTTTTGGCAAAGGTACTGTAACCAACTGTTTTCGTACATAGGGGATTCCAAAGAGGCCGAATTCCAGCATCCCAGGTATCGCCCACTTCATATGGTCCCACGTTGCTGTGTTATCTCCCAGCCAGTGCCCCGTGTACTTTCCCGACCCCGCAAAAGTAGACCTCGAAAGGAGGAAGCTTCGCTTTCCAGGAAACAAAGTTTCAATGGCTCTGAAATTAAAAAAAAAGGGTTGAATTAGGAAAAACAATAACAATTAAATGCAGGCGCTCTGTCTAAAAATAGACACAGACTCCGTTAAGTTCAATCAGGTGTCTATTGACTACGTTCATTATAGAAATTCACCTTAAAGAACCTTCCGGGGGGAACTGGGGGGGTTCAGCCTGGAGCAGAGGAGGCTGAGGGGAGCCCTCATCACTCCCTACAACTGCCTGAGAGGAGGGGGGAGCCGGGGGGGTCGGGCTCTGCTCCCAGGGAAGGGGAGATGGGATGAGGGGAAACGACCTCAAGTTGTGCCAGGGCAGGGTGAGGTTGGCCATGGGGAACAATTCCTTCCCCTTGGGGCTGTCAGGCACTGGAAGGGGCTGCCCCGGGAAGGGGTCGAGTCCCCACCCCTGGGGGGCTTCAAAACCTGTGGGGCCATGGCCCTTGGGGCTGGGGTTTAGTGGTGAGATGGCAGAGTTGGGTCAAGGGTTGGGTTTGGGGATCTCCAAGGGTTTCTCCAACCCCAGCGATCCTGAGGTTCTATGATTCTTTGCTCTACTCCACCATTTTTCATGAAGATCTGAAGAAGGATCCCTCACCGCTGTGTTGAGAGGGTCATCGAGTATCCAAAAAGGCTGTGAACATCGTATTGCCGCCCCCACTTCTGCACCGCATCCATGCAGAGCGTCTTGGAATACAAGAGCCTATCGACAACATCTGCAGGGGAAAAAAAAGAACGTTCTGAAGCGCATCCAAATTGATTTAATTAAATTATTTATTGAAACATTAAATTTAATTCATTTAATTAAGGAAGAAAAAAAGAAGACTTTCTGTCCCTTCTTTTCCTTCATGTACATTCATGAAATTTTGGGCCTTTTTTCAGTTCAGTGTTTGTGTTAAGCAGGGTTACTGGGCTGCGAAGCAACAAGTGCTCACCCACCTCATACGACGGCCTGCTCTGGCACAACTTGAGGACCCAGCTCCATTGCCCTTCTCTGGACACGCTCCAGCCCCTCCAGGTCCTTCGGGGAGGGAGGGGCCCAACCCTGACCCCAGCAGTCGAGGGGCGGCCCCCCCAGTGCCCAGCACAGGGGCACGCTCCCTGCCCTGCTCCTGCTGGCCACACCACTCCTGAGACAAGCCAGGATGCCGCTGGCCTTCTGAACAATCTCATCTGACCACGTGCCAGCAAGGATCAAATTTCTGATGGGGTAAAGCATTTAAACTTTTAGCTGATAGGTCAGGGACTTACGGGGCGTGAAGGGAGGATAGTTCAAGTCATTCTGCTTGCAGCCGTTGATGGAGCCTTGGACGAAGTTGGCTACTTCATTCATGTCCTGAAAAATCGCAGACACTCGTTTCAAACGCTGGCCGTGACATTTTTTCATGACAGCCACGCTCCCCGGGCTCCCAGCCCAATGCGCAGCTACAAGCCCCCTTGCCGTGGCGATGACTTGAGGGCACAAGAAGCAAGGAAGGAATAATATTCGTAAGGTGCTGACCTCCTCGTCCAGCCACCAGGACGTTGATTTACAAAGTAATCAAAGGGAAAGAAGAAGAAGAAGCAGAAGAAGAAGAAGAAGAAGAAGAAGAAGAAGAAGCAGTGGAAGCAGAAGCAGAAGAAGCAGAAGGAGAAGAAGAAAAAGCAGCAGCAGAAGCAGCAGGAGAAGCAGAAGAAGAAGCAGAAGAAGAAGAAGAAGCAGAAGGAGAAGAAGAAGAAGCAGCAGCAGAAGAAGAAGAAGCAGCAGCAGAAGCAGCAGCAGAAGCAGAAGAAGAAGAAGCAGAAGGAGAAGAAGAAAAAGCAGCAGCAGCAGAAGAAGAAGAAGAAGCAGAAGAAGCAGAAGAAGAAGAAGAAGAAGCAGAAGCAGCAGAAGAAGAAACAGCAGCAGAAGAAGCAGCAGAAGAAGAAGCAGCAGCAGCAGGAGAAGCAGGAGCAGGAGAAAAAA